GCCTCTGGTGAGTCCTGCCAAAAAACAAGGGTAGCCAAGTGTGCCAAGCTCGCAAGACAGTGCCATGCCGACAAGCAACCCGCTGCTTACCTTGTCCTTGAGGATGTACAAGGCCACCGGATTCTTGCGGTCGTGGTCGCTGCTCCGTGGGATGCTCTCGGCTGTGTGGAGGGAGGGAAAATGTTGGGTGTGGAGCCAGCAGTGTTAGCATTGGTCAAGGTGTTGGTGTTTGCTAAGGTATTGCTGGAGGCACCAGTGGCATTGGTGCTGGTCAAGGTGTTGACCAAGGTGATGGCATTGGTCAAGTTGCTGGCATTGGCCAAGGTGTGGGTGTTGGCCAAGGTGGTGTAGGTGTGGCTGTCACTCACCCTCATGCTTCAGGCGCTCCTCGTCCTGCTCAGAGAACTCGGGGGCTGCCTGCGTCTCCGCCTGGCACTTCTCCCTGCAGGAGGGAGGGAGGGAGGCAGGAGGGGCAGCACTGGCACCATGGGTCCATTGGGAAAGGGCATGAAGCTGCCATGGGGGAGGGGTGGGGTAATATGGGCCAAGGCCTGATGGAATGGAATATGTTGTGATGAGACCAGATGAGATGGGACAAGATTGGACAAAATGGGATGGGACAAGATGGCATAGGTCAACATGCAATGGAATGGGATAGGATGGGAATGGGACAAGATGGCATGGGATGGAGTAAGATGGGATGGAACAAGGTAGGATGGGATGGAACAAGGTAGGATGGGATGGAACAGGAGAGATGGATCAAGGTGAGATGGGATGGGAATGGGACCAGATGGGAATGGGACAAGATGGGATGCGGTTGCATGGGATGGGACAGGAGAGATGGATTAAGGCAGGATGAGATGAGATGAGATGAGATGAGATGAGATGAGATGATGAGATGTGACGAGATGGGACTAAATGGGATGAGGCAAGATAGGTCAAGATAAGATGGGATGGACTGGTATGGATTGAGGTGTGATGACTGATGTGGTGTGATGGGACAGGACAAGATAGGATGAGATAGGATAGGGTGAAGCAGGACAAAACAGGATGGGATAAGAGGAGCCCTGTTGGCTCCCAGTTACCCGCAGCCGTACTTCTTGGAGGGCTTCCAGCAGGCACAAACTGTCACCAGGGTGACAAGGAGGAAGATACCGCCTGTGGAAAGGATGATGTAGAGGGAGCTCCGGCCTGGGTAAGAGAAATAAGGGAGGAAAATCCCCCCATAATTTTAGCTGGGAGCATCTGCAAGGGGTGGCCAGCACTGGAGGGGCTGGGGGAGGGGAGAGCAGGTGGCTTACGGTAGACGGTGAGCTTCACAGGGATGCTACGGCCATGGCTGATGGGGTTCTCCACCAGGCAGCTGTAGACATCATCATCAGCCATGAGAACACGGGTGATAGTGAGGATCTTCTGGTCAGGGGAGAGGAGCAGGCGGGAGTCGTTGCTCAGCGGCCGCCCGTCCTTCAGCCAGGTGTAGGTGGGCTTGGTGCCGTTCTCGTGCGAGCAGTTGAGGGTGAAGAACTCACTAAGCTCCAGCACCGTTGAGGATGCCACCAGCACTTGTGGCTTTGAGATGGGGACTGCGGGCAAGCAGAAAAACCAGGGTGACATGGTGTCTTGGAAATGAATGGGCCCAGAGGATGGGAAGAGGAACACCAAAACCCCACCAGGGATGTGGCTCTATGGGGTGGTTGAATCCCCAAAACCACCTCATGGCTGGAGAGAACCCTCCCAAAAAGCAGTGGGTGAAGACCCCCATCTCCACTGGCCACCCTTGTGCTTACTGTCCACGGTGAGGTTGATGGTCTTCTCACCGGTGAAGGTGTCATCAGTGATGGACACCTCTACCTCATAAGCTCCTTCATCAGACAACTGCAAAGGGCTGATGAGCAAGGAGCCATTCTCCAGCACCCGGATGCGGTCGCGGTAGTCGGGCCGGAGGTTGCCAATGATCTCGGTGCCGATGGACTGGACAACGGTGACGGGCTTGTCGCGCTTCAGCTGCCACTTCACCACTGGCTTGTCGGCGCTGGCGCTGGCGTAACGCACCGACAGCAGCGCTGCCTTGCCCGCTGTGCCGCGGACCAGAGCCGTGGGGCTGGTGATGTTCACCCCCGCCAGGAGACCTTGGGGGGGGAGACGGGGAGACAATGGGGTGGGCACTGGGGCTGGAGATAAAGGGGCAATGTCCTCCCGGAGCTCTGTTGAGCACCCCCAAAATGCACCTTCCAACCCTTTGCAAAGATGGAGGTGTCCTCTCCAAATTGCGTTGGGAGTGGGAGGGTTTTTGCACCCAGGGGAAGGTCAAAAGCGTTTTGCACACCATTACCCCCCAAACTGCGTGGGGGTGGTTTTGCATCCAAGATACAACCATTTTTAAAATGCGTCCAGGACCCCCAAAGAGTATCAGGCATGGCATGCAACCCCTTGCAACGATGGATGGGTTGCCCCACCCCCATAATTGCCTTGGGGGTGGGAACATTTTTGCACCCAGGGCAAGGTCAAAAGCATTTTGCAACATGTTGCAAAAGCTGCCTTCCCCCCACCCCCGCCAAATTGTGTTGCGGGTGGGTGTGCTCCTGCCACCCGGGTTGATGCGACCCTTTGCAAAAACGCGTGTACTGCTCCCAGCACCGTGGGGGGAGGGGGGTGGGAGCGCTTTGGAGGTTCGGTAGATGCAGTGCGTTGCAAACATGCAGGTGTCGACCCCCCAAAAAGCTGCACGGGGGTGGTAGTGGTTTTGCAGCCAGGTTGATATGACGCGTTGCAAACCACAAGCATCGCTCCCAAATATGCTCCGGGGGGTAGGGAGGACGGGGGGGTACTTTTGCACCCAGGCTGATGCAGCCCTTTGCATGCATGGCCCTAAAAATGTATGTTGGGG